ACAGTAGAGGGGTGGAATCACCTTCCTTGATCTGCTGCCTCATTTCTATTTGTGCAGCCCATGATACTTCTAGCTTCCGGGCTGCCAGTGTATGTTACCAAGACTGTCGACCTTCTCATCCACCAACACCCCGAAGTTCTTCTCCTTAGGGCTGTTCTCAATCCATTCTTTGCCCAGCCTGTACTTGTCCTTTGGGTTGCCCCAATCTAGCTGCAGGACCTTGCACTTTGCCTGTTGAACTTCATGAGGTTCATACAGGCCCACGTCTCAAGCCTGTCCAGGTCCCTCTGGATAACATCCTTGCTCTCCAAAGTGTTGACTGTGCCACACAGCTTGGTGTCATTACCAAACCTCCTGTGGGTGCACTTGATCTTACTGTACATGTCGCTGACAAAGTTAAACAACACTGGTCTCAATAATTTATTTACACTCCAGAGGCAACATTGTATAGTTCATAAATGGTAGCTAGGAAGATGTCTCCCTGTGGTGGGTGAAAAAAATAAAGTGAAAGCCACCTCACACATCAGTACCTATCTCTAGTAAGGTATTTGTATCAAAGGTGGATAAATTGTCTTCCTTTATAGCAACCAATAATAATTATTGGTTAATAATAATAATTATTCACATATAGCATACTGTTTGGATTACTAGGATACTGAGCTACTTTGTGTACTTTGGAATGAACAGATCTGTGCTCCAAAATACTTGTGCTTCTTACCACTGATTACAGAGAGTTGCTATATACGTAGCTCAGACATAGATAGCTGTATCACTACGATGTAAATTTGTTGAGGTGTGACCCATTCCATTGAGCTAATCGTGATATATCATGTTGTTTCATCCCAACAAAATCAAAGAGTGGAAATATTTTCTAAAGAGGGTTTTTGACTGATTTTCTTCAGTAAACTTGACTTACAGAGCCACTGGTCCACAGTGGTGTCCCTGTGCTCAATGATAATGCGTTAATACACTTCTGCCCATGAGTGAGTAGGTGTTACAGACTTTTCTACCCTGAGCCTGAAGTTCCTTCCTAGGTGCTCTGTTGTCTCTTGTATTGTTGTCATACTTTGCTGTCTGTTATGAAAGGGATTTGTCGCAAAGGTCCATATTTATCATACAGGTGAACAGGGAGTGTTTGGTATGTGTATGGAATCAGAAGAAAAGATCTTGCTCCACTAACAGGTGGGGCTCTGCATGAATGGGAAAGACATCCAGCTGTGGTTACTCACGCTTCAGTGTAGAGGAAGGAAACACTTACCTGTCCCTCCCTGCAACAAGCGTATCTTGGACAAAAACATTATTATGGATTCAGCAGAGAATAGGCCTCGTGACAGCATCCACTATCAGCCCAAGCACTAGTAACAAGAAGTTATTCAGCGTCTTTGATACCAAGCTTACAAAATTAGTAGCACTAGTTTTTCTTACGCTGTCTCTTCCCTCACTGCAGTGAACAAACGGAAGTTAAATCTGGCCATTACTGGAGCAAAGGTGTTTCCAGGAATCAGCTAAACAGTAGTTAGTATTATGCCCTGTTTGTGGAGGTATTATAGAATTGCAGAATCATAGAATACACTGAGCTGGAAGGGACCCATCAGGATCATTGAATACAACTCCTGGCCCTGCACAGGACACCCCAAGAATCACACCATGTGCCCGCGAGCATTGTCCAAATGCTTCTTGAACTGAGACAGGCTTGATGCTGTGACTACTACGCTGTTCCAGTGCTCAGTCACCCTCTGTGTGAAAAACCTTTTCCTGATATCCAACCTAAATCTCCCCTGACTCAGCTTCATGCCTTTTCATCAAGTCCTCTCACTGGTCAGGAGAGTGAAGAGAATGTAGAATATTCTAACACATTTCATCATATGCTGTTATCATCCATGTAGCAAAAAGAGAAAGAATTTTCAGTAATTGAATTCAAATTTCAAACTCAAATACATAGTTATGCATGTGTCAGCTGCCTCACTCCAGGATTTTATAGGTCACAGGAATTTTATAATAAGTGAAGAACTGCTAATTGTGGTCAGAGATACCTGTAATTATATAAAAGAAAAACTTGGATTTTCAGAAATGCAAGATAGTGCTGTGCAGAAGCTAAAGGAATTTGTTCAGCAGCCTTGAGGATCTTGTCATTTTGATTTCAGTAATTCACAAATAGAGTTATCAGAATTTTAATATCCCACCATCTTTGGACTATAAATTTATAATGGCAAAAGTGGCAAAAAGTGACTACTGTTTCTGTTCTACTGCCATTAATGGATGGCATAAGGAAGATTAACAAAGCAAATAAAGCATTTCAGAGTGAGAGTCCACAGATTTCACAAATCTCAATGATTTCCACTTTTAAAACATATTTTGGTGCTTTTGACACTTAGATCTTCCACTCCTGATTTAATACCCATTTCTGTCAGTACCAGTAGGGAATCTGCTTGAATCACTGAATAACTCCCTATCTTAAGTCCATGTATAATCTGAATTTGGAAAAAGTTGTTCAGATAATCAGGATTTTCAGTAACAGAGATATTGTCTAAATAGAGATTTTTCAAAGGATTTTTTTTATTATAAGGTTTTTATAAAGTGTAAGCATGTACTTAAGTATTAGAGATTCAGTCTAAATTCAGCATAGATGATGCAAAACAGCTACCAAAGAGTCGAGTGTAACAGCATATTCTGTGCAACACCTATTCCAGAGAACTTTGGACGATAGTGTGTGAGTCACCATGGAAGATTATTAACTTCAGTGTTTTGAATTATAGCAACTGTGTAGAGGTTACTTACTCATTCTTGAACTGCACATCCTTATTAAGCTGAAATGTGAAAAAGTAGTGATTCAGGATGGAGGAAAAAAGCCATAGAATAAAAACAGCAGAAAGCCGTAATAAACAAGAACATGGTATATGAGGAAAATTAAATAATTTCTACACTAGGTTAAAAGCATTCCTAGGCTGAAAATAAATAGGAAAGTTATTGGAGACAGGACTGGGATGAATGCAAACAGTTTGTCTAAGCAATAGTTTCCTAGAGAAAGGGGGGGAAATCATTCATCAGAGAAGTTAAAGGGTTTATTGACATTAATGGTAATGCTTGGAGCAAGTCTCAACAGATAAGGTCCAAGGAAAAGGCAACTGGATTGCTCAAGATAGCAAGTAAACTTTTAAAGAGACAAGATTTTTCAACAATATACAAAGTCTAGAGAGAAAAGAAAGGACACACAGGAAGAATGGTAGTGAAGAGGATTCATGAAATCCCAGGAGAAAGAGGGAAACACAAAAAAAAAAATGAGGGTCAACTATGTGTTAAATGAATAAATGGTGTGGAAAATAAAGCGATAATATCCAGCATGTTTGGAAAAGTTGAAACTTTCACCCAGGGACATCTCTAAGGAGATTTCAGGTCATCCTTATAGACATGGAAAGATGATAAATGCTATCATTTTCCAAAGCAGTTATCATAATTCTAGATCGAATATTTAAAAAAAAAAATCAGGAATGCTGTGGTACATAAATATGAGAATGCATTTAGAACACTATCATTTGGGATACAGATCTCTTACTTTACTTGAAACAAGATAAATCCACTGATCTCTGTTTTGTAGATCCAGTCAGGCAAATCTGAGCAATTGGCATGTGAATTAACCAGAGACAAACTCTTTGTGGCTAATGGAGAAAAGAGTGACAGGAAGGTTATTAGAGTAGACATTAGTGTCTAAACCTGAAAATTACAAAGAAAAGTAAAAGAAAAAAAATTGGTACCCAAGGATAGGGCTGAAAAGTTATATTCCAAATAGAAATTAATAAACCCTATTTAGATATTCTGGGTTTTGTATGAAATTCAAAGACATTCTCTAAGGCAGGCAAACACTGTAACCCAAAATGTTAAGGTCTGAAGGTACTGTTCACAAAACTTTAAAGTATACCGTTCTTTGCTTGGGTGTCTTAAGCCAGACAGCTAAGGCAGAAGACCTGAAGGATGCATGCCAAAATAAGTAACAAGCAGGTAACCTTGGATATCAGGATGTTACGGCAATAGGAATGGCTGCTCTTCATTCACATGACAGGGTGAATGGCTGAAACTTGTTTAAGTCCACACTGCTCTTTATATCTCACTGAGAGAAGATTATCATGATAATAGAATTCTTTCTTATCCAGAAATAACTTGAACTTTTCTAAAGTTCAGAAATTCTTGCTCAAACCATATGTCCAAACACAAAAATCATCCATAATAATTAAGGCATGCCTTTTAATTCAGAAAGTATGTGAAATATAATTAATGTATGGCAAGATTAATCTTGTGATATATCCTATCTCATCTGTCAGTTAAAGGCCTTCTATTGACAGATGGTGTAGATGATGCCTGATACATGAGTTAAATGTGTGCAGTGAGTTTTACAAGCATCTGTGTAGTCTCAGTCAAAGCAATGAGATCATTTCTCTCTATTTCTATGGCATTAATCCACAGTGCATATATCAAAAGCCTAGCATAGAAAAACAAGTTCTGGGAGACCACCAATCAGAAAAGGAAGGATTTAATGAAGAAAGGAGTTTCTTGTGCCTTATAAAATGATTTTCCTGTAGAAGAGATACCTTTCTCATTGAATAATCAGAACAGGACATTTATGCACCAGTGGGTTTCACCTGTGTAGAAAAATCTTGTCTATTGAATGATTTGTTTTGAACTCAGTTATTCCAAAGGGCACTGTGGTAAAAATTTTGTCCTTAAATTTGTGGTGCTATCTGGAAAAAAAATAGCAGCAAACTTTTGCTCAGTTCTGCCCGCAGAGATTTTCTGGATTGATCATTTTTTTTCTTACCTTCACATTTCTTGAAAAATATGTGAAGGATTTTGTATCACCATAGTCTTCCCTTATCTCTGTGATCTACACAACAGACATTAATTACAGTACTTTTAATGTACTCTGAACATATTAAAATGTAATCTAAAGTGGCTTGTTTTTAATGAATGCTTTCTAGCTCTGGTAATTATTCTCATCAACTCTCCAGTGAGAAGGGCTTAGTTTGTTTCCGGAGCTAACAAGTCTGTCTTTACCTTCAGAGCTGCCTTCAAGTACGTGAAGAACTCTACATTAAATCTGGGCACCTGCCTGCTGAGAGAAAGCAATTTTACAGGTAAGATGAGGAGTCCTAAAACTCTGTTCCCCAGTAAGGAATTTGTAGTGTCTGCCTAAGCAGACTGTTTCAGCAGTGTTTGCTTCATCGAAATCCCAGCTCAGTGAAAAGGCTGTTGCTTTCGGTCATAAAAATAAGTAGTGTCATTTTCTCTTTGCAATGAATTCTTTCATCCAATCATATTCCTGTATGCAAATATACCATAGCTGGTTCAGATAAAAAAGCACAAATAAAGCTAGGGGCTCAGTCAGGACAAAAATCACTGCACTTCCTTTATACCTCATTTCACCTGTGTTTCAGGAACATCCTCAAACTTCTCAACTGAAAACATGAAGAAGCAAGGTTCAGACAGTAACTCTACTACAGTTACGCCAGCTCTACCAGAACCAATCAAAGATCTGAAAATTAAGTACACCAAGGTTAGTAGCATTTGCATTTCTTAATCTTTTTTTATGCATTTAAATTAGACAGTAGGATGTGCTCAGTTTAACATTATATACTATGGAAGCCACTGTAAATCAGTGCTTAAAATGTTTGTTCTGACCAAGTTCTGATTTTACACATATTAGCAATTGATGTTCAGTGATCCTTTTAACCTAAGTTAAAGCACCTAATTGTGTAAGAATGATACAATCTTTCCATAGTTAATTTATGGTGAGTTGTTTTTCTCCTGAAACAGATTTTCAGCAGTGGTAAGTTTCTCAGAAAGTATAAATGAAGCAAAGAAGGAAAGGTTTCTACTATTATATTTTTCAGAAGAGTGAGAGTAAACTAAAATGTCAGCATATTGCATCGTGTTATGATCAGATTTAAATAATTATACCTAATAAGAATATGTGGAAAGGGATATGTGAAAATGAAACTAAAATAAAAATAATTCTGCTCACATGTTAATCTTAGAGATAATGAATCTGTTTTTCAGCTTAAACAAGTAGCTATCAGTAGTCTACCAACACTAACTACTCAATATTACCATAAACTTTTTGAAACAAAAAATTCTTCTCCATATACATTTAGAAATATACAGATAAAGAAGGTTTGTATCCAGACTTGTGCTTCCAACTTGAAAAGACTCTTTTCCTGTTTTATACCATAATATTATATCATAAAACACAGATATCTCCTAGAATTTTCAAAAAAAGTGTAGGCAGAGAATATTGAAACTCTACTCTCTGAAACATTCAGGTAGAACAATTGATCAGAAAGGACCTCTTATCTTTGGAGACTCCTTTATCACTGTTCTTTTTTTCTTGATACTGTTGCAAGGGAAATAATATTATTTTCTAGAGCCACTGCTTATTTTCTTTTCCAAAAGCAAGGTATTCAGCAATCATCTAAATTAGTCCTTTTGAATTACATTCTATCCTATTTTTTTAGTGGAAAAAATCGAGCAGATTTCAATGCATATCTTTCTTGAATAAATCACACAGGATCCTACTTTGTAAATATTTAACAGACTAGGAAAGCTATGTAGTTCTGCCATGCCACGTGATAGCCCGCTACTGCTCTTCCTGTCTCAAAAAAAAAAAAAAAGGCTTTTTACTATTTGATTTTTTAGTTTTCCGAAGGAAGTCAATTAATATGAGCAAAACACTGACTGATGTAACTGAATATTCAAGATATGAATTCCTGTAAAGATTTTTGTCCTTCTAAAATATTTCACTAGCAAAAATCCATTCTGTTAATATAAAAATCAACCACAAGACAGCCAGCCAAGGCAATTGAAAAGTCTATAGTTTGTAGTGTGCAATCAAGGAGAGTGTCACATTCCAAATATTTCTTTTGCCTTTGCAATAAAGTTGTATATATAATTTGTACCTGTGCAGAAATGCAATGCACTGGTTTGCAAAATCCAACACACCCTTGTGGAGGTTTGATCTTTGCAATGCTTTCCTTCTGTCTTCAAACACCATATAGGATGATCTGAAAGCCACAGCAGTCTACTGAGAGACAGAGATTTGGGATATTAGAAATGCTGGCCCATATCCAGCACTCATCTCACAATTTAATAAAGTTTTTCCACTCTTGCCTTTGCACCCATCCTGTTCCTCTCCTGTTAGAGAAGTTAGAACATAGGGGTGGCTGACTACTTACACTGGAAAGAATGAGACAACGGAATCACTAATTACTGCTGATGTATTACCCTTTCTGTCTGAAGCACATAGGATCAGATCCTTCATTTCTGTACACTCTAATTTTTCTTTTCCTACCATTATGTAATATCAACAGCCATTGCATGAGAATCTGAAGAGAGGTCATCAGAAGATGGACTTTCCTCTTTACTTAAAACTGTTTTATTTTCTATGAGAGAGATCATTTGAGGCCTTTCACAGAATTCATTTAACTAAGTATTTCCATATGAATCTGGATTTATAGGTAGGTATAGCTACATTTCAGATTAATCCTTTTTCATATGTAACATGTATACTAGTATAACACTTAACACTCCAGGGAATTTCAGTTTCAACCATCAAATGGAAGTATTTTAAACACTACAATTGGCTTGGATTTTGAACCACAAAATGATCTTGAATTGGTTTCATATCTGAATCTCCTTTAAAGATATGCCCGTGAACTGAATAAGTTTTGATAGCTAGCTAAAACTATACTAGTAAATATTTTACTTAGTCAACACTGAAGAATTAGACAATGGTTGTGTGACAAATACTTTCTGTCATGATGCTTTCACATACCCTAAGCCCTGTGGTACTCCTTTAATCAGAGAAACTCAGATTAGTTAATTATTAGGTTGTCAAATTACACGAGGGGGAGAAAATGGCTGAACATTCTCTCAGTAATCTGCATGTGGAATATCAGAAAGTGTGGAAGGTTAAGCCACTCTGAATAAAGAAAATCATAGCTGAGCATCAATACATTGCATCACTAGCTTCAAAACAAAGAAATATAATTGAAATGTCTGGGGAAAGTTAATCTGCTAGAAAGGTACTATAGAAACTCACTCTTTTTCAGATCAGCTTGCTTTGTAGACACAAAGCGCCTCACTGACAAATAAAAAAATTTACATAAGTATTGAACAGAAAGAGTGTGTTCTCTGATTATTAGCTCATTGCAGCAGTAAAATATAATTCCTATATCAATAATAGCATACAATTCCAAGGGAGGGGAAAAAAGTTACATGAAATATTAGCGAAACATAAGATTCTCGTAAGGAAAAACCTGAGGTGGGAAAAAATAAGATTTCACAGCAGATATTCTATACTGACATATTTGCTTAAAGTTAAAACTTCATTCTTTAGTAGTTCCTTAAATAATATTGCATATTTTCATTTTATTTTTTAAAGCATACAGTGAGAGTCCATGATGTATTTTGAGACTGGTACGTTAGAACTTACAGCACTTGAAATGTGCCTCCTCTTGGGCCACAAATCTTTAAGGTCTAGATGTATCTGTAAAATTTACTGCCAAGTAAATTTTAGCGTATTACAGTACTCAAGAATATCTGAATGACTGCCATAATCTCTAAGAGCAGGTGTACATGGGTGCCAGCAGTTATTCAGCACTGCGCATCATCTCACCTGAGTGATGCTGAACTGCCCTCGGCATGCGTCCAAACTCAGCCCTGATGTCTCTTCACTGTTCCTGACCTGTAAAAAAATGCTGTTGGTGTAATTCCCTGGTTTATAGTCTGCATTAGAAAGCTTGTGAGCAGTCAGCTGAGCAGCTGTTCAAATCTGTTGGTCCCTTTTATCTTCGTGAAACAGTCAACGGGGCTCATTTGAAAAGTATTGAGAAGAAAAACTTTATTACAGCAAGGAGCAGATTTATGGGTGGAAGAGGTTTTGCTTTTTCTTGTACAATAAGTCTGATATCTAAATAGAAGATAGCTTAGACATTTAATTTCATGTTTACAAAATTATCCTTAATAGCTAAATTAGGAATAATCCACATTTTAATTGGTTCTATTTCATTTCTTGACTACACTTCTGTATTATTTTTAAAAATAATAGTGAATTACATTAAAATTCTTCCCTAGAAAAGAGTAAATTTATAGACAGATGCTGATACATAATCTTTGCTACAGCAAAAATTAAGTACTTGCTTCTTTAAGCTGCACTTTTAAGTCATTTTGCAGAAGCACTGAAGCCTGAATCCCTGTACAGACTTTGTACAATACTGAAACCACAAAAAGGGGATTCTTTTCCTAAGGAAGATTCAGCAAAAAGTTACGTTTCGTAAAGTGATGACACCTAATGTAAGGGCCCTAAATTTATTTCAGCAGAGCTGTGGTGAGGTCCATCTGAAACAAAGCTGTACAGAGTCAGCATGAGCTTTCCTCATGCAGCACAGACACAATTATGGCACTTCCCATCTAGCAGATACTTTTGTATTATGAACTCACAGTCCTTTCAAAATACTCCAGGACTGAACGAAACGAAACAACTGAGATGACAGAAAAAAAGATAAAGTCCAGGTCTTGTCTCCCCATTCTCTGCTCTGGTCATTTGAATGATGAAATCAATTGTGTAAAAAGGATAGAAATACTGTAGTCTTGCAGGGAACTTCAACCCCACAGGGTGAATGGTGTTAGATCATTTGAGCTGAAACCAATCGTTTCAGAGAAACAAGATTTTACAGCACTCTGTCATTGTGAAATAAAGACAGTCAGAGGGGTTTGACTGCCTGTTGATGGGCTCTATTTGAAACACTAAGCTTTAGTAGTGTACAGTCTCATTTACAGGAAATGTGTATTTCCAATTCTACTGCAAAGAAACCTGAAAGTCATTAATAATTTGAGTAGTTGAAATAAAAATACATCTTCTCTCCTAAAATTCCAGTGAGGTAATATTTACAAAATACCTGCAATGATGTTTCTAAATCCTTGCAAAACAAAATTGTACTCCTAAACCTCATGGGCCACAGTTAGTCATCACAGACAAAGCCCTGCACAGCACTTGCCACAGAAGGGTTGCATTTATGTTTGTCTAGATGTCAGTGGAGTTCTGATTGACTGACAAAACACTGTAAACTATTGCAAGATGATCCCAAACATAATTTTTCTCAGTCAAGGTTGTTGTTAGAGGCTGCTGTCTGCAGGTACTTTGATGTTGCCTTGACTTAGAGATCCATATCCTTTTTGTTTGTAGCAAATACTCCACAGCATTTAATGAGCATGGCTGAATGCACATTTACATGTACAGCTGCCTGCAACGTATTAATACAGCTTACTTGTAGAGTTTTGACTTTTTCTTTCTCTTTTTTATCTTTCACACCTGCATTTCCAAGGCTGCTATCTAGCTTATGAAAGACATCTGGATAGTTTGATTTATACAGCCCTGTTACAATGTTGTATATATATTTAATATAGCGAAGTTATGTTTTAAACAGAAACGGTATTAGAAACATCAATAAGAGATATATTCTAAACTGATACTATGGGCAATATTGGTTGGCGCAATAAATGTAGTATTTAAACAAACACTTCAAAAATTTCCAAAAATGGTATGTTTTGCTATTATTCCTTTCATGGACAGATATGAATTTAGCATACTGTAACATCATAGCAGTGTTATGTTAATATTTACCTTTCACTTTGTCTCTTTTCTTGGCAATATGTCTAGATGGGGGAGAGAGGGGGTGTTGCACATTTAACCATTTAACTGTTGTCTTTCTCCTTTCACCACAGGCAGAATTTTGTATGGATAATCTTATAACCAGCTTCATCACTTGTCTGAAATTTTCAGGGACTTTCCAGGGATTGATAGCTTTTGTTAAATCAGGAGTTTGCTGGTCAGTCCTGATGGTCAGACATTACAGTGACAGCCTGTATAAGGAGTCCACATAGAGACAATCTGAAACATACAGGAATATATTAAATTAAATATATTAAATGGCAAATTGCTGCCATATTCATTTATTCAAATATAGTATTTTATTGATTTTGATCATTATTCACAAAATATTCCCTAATTATTGACTACCACTCAGTCAGAGTAGGCATTTTGAACACTATGCAAAAAAATCTATTTCTTGAAATCGGACACATTTTCATAACATATGTGGTTGTGGTGGAAGGGTTTAGTCCCCAGGTCTGTGTGACAGGAAGTATTTATCCTGTAGTTCTGGTGTCTTGACTTTATCTGCCCCAAAGTATTTTCTGGTTTTCTATTTCAATTTTCCTGCTACTCTAAGCAGCAATGCTAGGTTCTTTATCCTAATGGAGAAGAAACAGGAATCACATCTTTTCTGCTAGGTGGTGTCAATGGCTAAGCTCCAGTGACTAAAGGTGAGGCAAGACACCTTAACCATAAAGAGAGGCACAGTTTGAGCTCAAAATACTTGATACTGTCATTCAGAGTCTGACATGGTCTCAATGATGAGTATGAGCAAGACCTTACCTGCATGCCAGCAACGCAGGGGTGTTGGGAGAGAGCGAGAAGGGAGAGCACCAGCCCACCAGCACCAGGAAGGTGGGTTCAAGCATTGGGAGGGCATCTCAGTGTGGAGACTCCACTTTATCACTGATCCAGAGATCACAGAGACAGTCAGGCAGAGGAGGACAGGTACTGTTAACATCAGACTGTATACCTTATCATGTTCATTTCAAAGAGCAACCTACATAACAGTTCTTAACAACATAGTCTCCTCTTTTCAACAGCTGTGCTTTTATCAGGTCTTCCCAAAAAGCCTTTCCTTTCTTAGCCTGTTTTGAGGCTAACCTACAGTCAGAAAAAGTTAACCCCCTCCAACAATTTACCAACAGTGCCTCACACATGGCAGGCTCTAGAGTTGTACAGATCTCGTGTATCCACATGTAAGACCTAGGTTCTATTTTGCATTTGTGAGCAGAGATAAGTACCTCAGATTTCACCCAGAGATCCTTACACATGTCCTAAGCACCCAGGACCATCTGGATGCAATTCTGTGCAATGTGCTCTAGGATAATCCTGCCTGACCTGAGATGTTGGACCGTATGGTTCCACTGTGGTTCCTTCCAACCTTATTCATTCTGTGATTCTGTGATTCATTCAATTGACTACGGAGAGGGTTTTTCAGTCTCAACTTTAATTTCAGAAAAGTGTTGTTGGTTTTGCTTGTTTTGGGCTTTTGATTTGGTTTGGTTTAGTCTTGGTTGGGATTTTATTTTCTTTGGCAGGATAGAGTGAAGAAAAATCAAAGTAAACCTAAACACAACAGTGCTCTACAAGATACTTCTAATTTAAGGTATTATACTCACTAAACCCAAGGACTGGGTCTACTTCTGTCAGGCTGTGTAACAAGAAGGCCCTCCATCCCTACCAACCCTGTGAACACAGGAAACCCAGGTAGTTCTAGGTAGGTCATTTAGGGATGTACCTCCCTTGCACATCACAGATTTCAGTTCGAGAAGGGAAGGACCCCTTTGTAACAGCATATTTTTATGATATGAAACAAAGTAAAAATATAATGTAGAGAAAGTTTGCCTCTTCAAAAGAAGGCAATTTTAAAAGGCTGATCCCTGTTATGTTAACATGTGATTACTTATCTCTTCAGAATAATTTAGAAATGGCTATTCCAATTTTAATTCAGGTATCTATCAATCAGGAAACTCTCAGGTATGAAAGATAGGTTTATTCACCAAAGCAGATGACAAACAGTTATATATGTGTTACTAATATTGTTGCACTCTTTCTTCCCCTGCAGATATTTATAAACAATGAGTGGCATGATTCGATCAGTGGTAAAAAATTTGCAGTCTTTAACCCTGCAAATGAAGAGAAAATCTGTGAGGTTGAAGAAGGTGACAAGGTAGAGTTTTCTTTCTTGCTTTTAATTCTAACTTTAAGTTTACTTCTTCATCTTAAAAGCAGTAAGGCAAGCAGCCATCTCTGTGATGTAACCACCTTAGGCATGTACCTACTTCATTCTGTACACTTCTGCAAAATAATTATCTTTTTTTTTTTTTATTAAGCCACAATATTTTTTGTAAAGAGACAGTGAAAAAACTGATTTACCTTAGGATCTCGGTCATATAAGAAAAGTTCTAAAGAAATATTTTTTGCTGGGTTTTTCTTACTAATATTATCAGTTCCTTTTTCTTATCTGTGATCAGTGACATCTAAAAACTTAATTGGGAGTCTTTGTTATTTTTTCTTGCTCTTCCTTAGTCAGTAATGTAACCTGTTCATTACACATTTATATAAAGCTTTTTTATTATAGATAATATGAAGAGGGTAAATACTTATAATTTCCCACACAGACTCTGTGAAGATGATTATTACCATCAGCATTTTTATGAATATGTCTTCTCAGTATTGCCCCTTCAAATATTTTGGAAAATATATTGGAACATGGTCCTAAAAAACACTGATGTTGAATGTGGCCTATCAAGTAGTCACTAATTCTACCAAAAATGATCTACTTAAAACATGTTGAATCAAGAAATTTAAGCAGAGGACTAAAAAACTTGTTGAAAACTGCATACAAACATTTTTTGTATGTATTTATGAGATTCCCTAGTGGAAAATTACAGACAGATGTCATGTAATCAAAAATATATTGAAAACCTAAGTGCTAAGATCTATATTTTGTTATATTATGTGCTTTTCTCATGAAAAGGATTTAGCTAGTCCTACTATATAGTTTAAATGTAAGTTATCAAGTTGGGGAAAAGGTAGTTATTTAAATAGGACAGGCAACATTGCTGAACAGTTTTAAAAGTGATGACCAATTTTTCCTATAAACTCTGAGAAAGGAAGCATGAGAAGTGAAGGCTCTATTTCCAGTTCAAAGATGACTGTAGCTGGAAATGAAATTGTTTTTATAATTACTGATTTGGTTTATTTCATTTTTATTTATTTATTTATTCATTTATTTATTTATTTCATTTTTTTACACTTTTCCCCTCAAGGTCAGTTTTTTACATCCAAAAATGAGGAAATTTTTTCACATTTCTCACAAAATGACGTTATTTAAGTAAAGAAACATGCATACCTAGAATGTTTTGTATACAAGCATTTTTTAAGCTTAGTAGTAAAATATTCATTAAACACCTTTTTATCCAGGAGATACTGTAAAATTTATAAGCTACTTATGCATGTTATAAACTCATAAAAAATTTATTGCCAATATAGTAAGCATAGGCTCTTTCAGAATACTTTAATTTACTGCACAAAGATTCAGTCTGAAATGAAATTCTCTTTTGAGAAATACATTCAGAATCATTCACTCATTAAATCTTAGTTACTCTGGTCCATAATTTCACCACGAATCTCCTAATAAACTTTGTCTCTAAGGCTGTCTAGCACATAAGCGATAGTGACCACAAACTTCTAAGAAGGTCATAATGAAGACACATTTTAAATTTTTTTTAGAAAAACATGGCTGAGAAAGTGTGTTTTTAATTATTTCATATATCTAACCAGAAGTTTTTTCAAAAGCCTTGCTTTTGTCCCACTTACCTATATCTAGTGCTGAGACAGTGATATTTGATCATCCTCAAATTAAATTACTCATGACTTGCAACTGTTCAGTTACCACACAAAATTTTTGTAGTTTTATTTCCTTACCAGCACTCCAGCAACTCATTAAATAAAGAGATAATACTATTCGACAATCAGGTTTTCTTTCTCTTCAATAATTTTGCAAACTAATGTGTAATGACAACTGCTATTAACTAAATTGCCAAGTGAATTGTACAAATCTAGTAAATTACACAGCCATTATGAACCTAATATGTTAGAACCTAGACTTCAAATAATGAGTCAAAAGATTTTAGGCATTTAATTTGTGCATACAATAGCGTTGACAAAAGACTGTCCCATTCCTTGTAGTAGTATTTTTAAAGAAACGAGGAGATTACAAAGCAAAGACATATATGTGGGTGAGAACTGTTCCCTTTCACTTTGATGGCTCTTTCAAACTACATTCCTAATCCTAAAGGCTCCTAGTAATAATAAAACAGCTCAACAAATGGTCCGTGTATGCAAAGTAAATGTACGTAAACTAAATGTAAAAAAGTATAAACTGGCCCAGAAAAGTCTTTATACTCATGTACCTGAAATAAATTTCATACTGTTAAAGAACAATAATTTTTTTATTACTTTTCATTCATGGCCCTTTAAAACCTTTATCTTATTTCTCTTGGTTTTAATTATTTCTGCACTTCTAGTAGAAAGAACATATATAGTTTTAATTTGCATCATTTGTACTAGTATGACTTTTGTTTCCCCCTTGTCCTTTTCCAGTAAAGGCTAAGCCATAACCAGTCAAGTCACATTGCAAAGCTGTAGAATATTTATGACAGGGTTTCACAGATAGTGATGATGTATTTGACAACATTCTGAAGATTCTGAAGAAAAGCAATTCTTCTTAAACTGGTAGATTTCAGCTACCTGATGTAGATGACTGGTCAGTACGATCCTATAGTAATGGCTATGTTATTTGTATAGTTCCTTACTACCTTTTCCTGAACTTCCTGGAAAAAAAATTGGGAAGTTCTGTGGGCCTCCTGCTTAACAGGTCTGTGCTGAGCTTTCTAAGCCACTAACCCACCTCACTCACAGCTTTTAAAAATGTGTTCCTGGCTATCAACATCAGTTAGAGATTTAAGATCTGGTTCATGTTTAAAACTAATGATTTTGGTGTTAACTCAGTTGACTTTGCTGACTTAGTCAACCTTGATAGTGCTTTCCCTGGAGAAGAAAGCACTGATTAGCAAACAGCAGCACAAAAAAGTTTGAAAGAAATCCTTCAAACATTGCATACAAATTTCTCAGGGAAATGTGACACGTACAGAAACCTCTTTTTTTTCTTTTTTTTTTTTTTCCTTGATATTTGTTTTTCATTTCTAACAAAAAAAATCTAGAATGAGTCTCCTTTTTATGTCATTGTTTTCCCGGGTAAAGTTTTACAAGAATTATGAAATATAGGAGAATTCCAAGTACTAAAACCTTCTCACAAGAGATTTTTAATTTTTGGGTTTTTTTTAAATCCTGGAACACCATTTGCACAGAATAGTTACATATAATTCATCATAGATTTTCCTTCTACAGTGAAAGCCAAATGATAAATAACAAAATATGCTATAAAAACTATTAATGGACTGACAAACTAGCTGACATATTCAAAGACAATGTTTAGATTTCAAAATATTTAAGCTTAGCATTCTAAACTGGGTGCTTTTTTTAATTTTCAAAATAATTTTAAACATAAATTTTTCTTAAATCTTCACAAAATAAATGTATTAATTTGTCTTCCTCAATAATAAATTTATGTTCATTTTATGAAACATCCTAAAGCATAGATTTTTCTAACCTGGTCTTCACTACATCACAAAATAGTTTTAGATGATAAATAATTAAACATTTAACTTGCAGATTTGGGCATCTCTTTCTAAATAAAAGAGAATAAATTGTATCATCAGTGTAATTTTTTGTTGTATGAAGAGGGCTTGAAAACATATATTTAAAAAATAGAGTTCCTTAATATGCTTTTATTTTAGAAGCTTTGAGAACCGACCACCTGTTTCTCATACAATTTCACATTGCTGAGATAGCAACAGAAGTGTTTGAAAAAAAAAAATAACTCATACATTTTAAATTACTGTACCAATTTTGATTAGATTGGTCTTGGTTTCTCTTATTTAAAATTTAAGTTAAATTTCAAGTTAAACTTCACATAAGTAACAGCCAAAAAGACTGATGACAGAATCAATTACTGATTTTAAAAGCTTCTCTTTTTTCCCCACAGGAGGATGTAGACAAGGCAGTTAAAGCAGCTAGAAAGGCTTTTGAGCTTGGGTCACCCTGGCGTACAATGGATGCTTCGGAGCGAGGAAGGCTCTTGAATAAACTAGCTGACTTAGTTGAAAGAGATCGGCTGATTTTAGCTGTGAGTATGATATGTGAACAAAAAAAATGGGACAAAAGTCCTGATTTAAAGAAAGATACAAGGAAGTGTAATGCGCCTACCTTTCGGAAAGTCAACTTTCTTAATATTTGTTTTTCATCTCTACAGCAAAATGACCACAGTAAGCTGTGTTGTACTCTGACCTATTAACATCCCAAATCCAAAATGTACTTGAGTATTTGATCACTTTAAAGTGATACTTAAACTACCTACAATCACAGTAATTTGAATTGCTGATTCTTAAGGACATACTAACATAGATCACATGGTTAACATTTTTATACACCAAAGTCAGAACAGAGGCCTAAACACAAATCAAAGCCTGAATCAAAGCCTAAACTCAAAGCCTGGCTCAGTGCTTATAGATGATACAAGTCAGAACTGGGAGAAATTTTGAATTTTGTGGCTATATATTTCATTATCACTGGTCCTTCATTAACTCCAATTTGAAGCTGGTAAAAAGTGATAAAGCTTAATCAAAACCAAAGGCATCAATGAATTATTTAAAGGGAAGAAGAACATGAGGGGTAGGGAATGATGTCCTGTCTTTACCAAGTGCTATGTATTGGCTATTTTACTACACCTAACAGCAAACACTTAAATTGTAACGCCCCCACCTACAGATAGTGAACTAAGTCAAGAAATAACATGTAAAATAGAAATACATCCCTCCCCTTGTTTCTGTACCACATATGATGCTATTTCAAGAACATTCTGAAATTAAAATTTAGGCAGGATTACTGTTTGCACTGAAGATGAATACTGGTTTTCTGACAACGGCGTAAAAAAATTTAAAGAGAAGAAGTATTATCACTCAGACTGATACAGCTACAGTTTGAAGTATTTAGCCATCAGCCATAAACCATACTGTTGATAAGCTCATAAAATTTACACCTTCAAATATATAAAACCTACAAAGCACCTATTGCTCATTATATGTCCTTATGACTGTACTATAGTTTCTCAGGAGAAATCTCAGGTGGCTGGAACTTACATCTTTTACAATGCTAGACTTATTTGAGATAAGAGAGACAAAATTATAGGAGAGGTGTATTTTTAATAGGAAAGTACATCCCCTTGTCAATTAAATATTGAATAACCTGGTATTTGTTTCTTTATTGTAGAGCCTAAGGCATTATAAATTCAAAGAGGATGAAGATATAATAACATTTTTTTTCTACAGGAAAAAACATTGAATTAGTTTTTGTTCCCATTTGCCATTTTCATAAAATGAAAGTATTGCTTTTCTCTGAGGTCCCTCCCTAGTTTCTAATTTACTGACTTTGTTTATATTTCTTACATCTTACTGCCTTACTCCTTTCCCCTTTTAGATAAGGTATGTTTGAATGAACTGTTTTCCAGACTTCATCAAAGTGAAGGGAGATTTTCTCCACTCACAGTTTATCCTACCTGCAAAACTAGTACTACAGAATAACAAATAACCCTAGAGATCACTATATCTCTAGCCCTAGAGTACACTAGAGATCAAAATAGATCCCAAAAGCTCATTGCAGAGGTATTGTCCTGTGTTCATGCATCTAACCATGCTGAAATTACTGGTTTACTGTTTTGTTTAATGATAACATGTTTCAGAGGCTCAACAGCCCTACAGACAGGTGAATGGAACAATAAGTCAAAGCAGGGGACTGAAAAAGCCACTGAGAATTGTGTTTCTTATGTTTCAGTCTGTTGTGAAGTTGAAAGCTAGAAGATTCATAGGTTTGAGGACAGGGAATAATTTTCTCCCATTTCCAAACAGAACAAAACAGTGCCAGACATATTGCCTGGAACGGCAAGGGCATATCTCACTTAATCAGTTCCTTGTTGCAGAAAGCCATCAAAAATTGTTGTCTTCTCTGTTTGTTCTGTTCTCTTCCCAAGTATGATATCTGAAAAGTGTCCAGTCAACTAAAACTGTAGACTTCACTGGGACACTATTTTTGAAAAACTGTTCTTAAAGGATCAGTCTGTAGATCCAACCTGAAATGATAAAGAACCCCAACAAATTTAGAAAAGAAAAATGTATTTCTAAACCTGATTAGATCGTGAAACCATAGTCTGGGTTTTTGCTACTGAATGTCATAACAGGATTGTTAACAAAGCTGGAGGTCCTCAGTGTCTCTGTTTTGGAAAACTAAGGAAAAAAATTAGGGGTGCCAAAAAGATATTGACACTGTTTAAGAACAGCATGTGGTCTTTAACTAGATGTCCCAATAATTAGGGGTATGGAAATGGCCTTAATCCAAACCACACTCCTTGGATTTGGCTGGAAATCAACCCTATTTAGTGCTGGTGTTTCTGTGGGTGGAGCAGAACTGGCCCACTGAAGAGTTATAGACGTTGAATGAATATTTACTGATCATTATTGTAAAAGTTTATATCTGCCTGGCATGGAGAATCAGGTTTAGCTTCAAATAAGACCAGTTAGATCACTCAGTTGGTAGTTAGCCAATAAAAGAGAGTCTCCTCTGTGTAAATATATATATGTTATGGTATTATATGCCATGATTTGAGTCTTCTTGATGACATGCGAGGAAGACCACTCATTTTATTTGCATCAGTTACTTGCACAGAGTCCTACCTGATCTCTTGACCTATGCTTGCAGAATATTTAATATAAACTAGAACAGTGTAACTGATTCAGATGGGAGAAATATTATTGTTTTTTCAGTACATCTTACCATTACAAATTTGCCATGATAATGCTACCTGCATAGCTCCAGATAAATAAACCATCATGAAAATTTCTCACTTGTAAATTGCTATCTTAAGTTTTTCAAACACTGTGTCCTTCAGAGGGGAATTAATCTAAATGTTTGTACTAAAGACAAAAATCCTCAACCTGAACTACCAAAAGCTAAATGACAAAGTACAAGCATAAGAACCATTATCGGTATTTGATATTAATGTTTTAATTGCAGACAATGGAAGCCATTAATGGTGGGAAACTCTTTTCCACTGCCTACCTAATGGACTTAGGTGCCTGTGTCAAATCATTACGCTACTGCGCAGGCTGGGCTGATAAAATCCATGGGCGTACTGTTCCAATGGGTGAGTATTTTTGAGATAACAAAAGTACAGAACTGAAGCCAATGAGAGCTGTAAATAACTGACTTTTATCTAAAAGTTGTGCTACACAGAAAATATCTCTAATGGAAAATGTTTCAGATAGTTTTTAATATAGGTTATTAAAGATTTATCATAGTTTTCAATTTAAACATTTAGTGCAGTTCTTCACATTTATTTCTTGTTCTATACACTACTAACCAGTATTGTTTATTGACCAATAAATTTAACCTATATGTATATCTCAGAAACCTGTAGTGTACTTTTGCATAGAAATTTATGGTTTATGCAAGACTACAGTAGTGAAAACCAGATATTTGCTTATTAAAGCTAAAATTAGCACAAAGAAGTAATTTTTGTTTCAGTTACTGGATAATGTAGTAGGAAGAGTAAGTACTAAGAGATAGGAAGAAGGAAAGAGTATTTTGCTAAAATTTCACTCCATTCCCTTTCCCATTATGCAACTCTGTGAAAACATTGTCTCTCAAGCCACCTTTTCTCAGAAGGACAAAGCAAAGAATGGCAATAAAGAAGGAATTAAGGAAAACTGGAGTGATAAATACTTCCAACTTTTTTTGCATCACGTAGATCTCTATACTAGGCTTAACGGAGCACATGTTTGTTTGAATCAAAGAGAACTTTATACTTAATGGATTTGATTTAAGCTGAGACCTGATATTAAAAAATGTCTGATATGTACGTAGGATTTAAAAGAACACTTTCTGAAACAAAAAAAGGCGATAAAAGAAAAAAGAAATTAAGAATGCTCATTGGTGTGCTGTGCATACTACATTGAGAAGCAGGGTTATCGCTGCAAAAAGTCAGTCACAATAAAAACCTTGGACGAAGAAAGTAGGCATTGAATCCAGATGTGCTTTATGGATCTTTTCATGGTTAAAATTTTGAAAATATAATTTATAAGTAAAATTGTATCCAGTTAAGTTTTGTATTCAACTTTATCATCTTTCTGATTTAACTATCTCTCACAAATGCTTTGTCTGCATGTCTAATTATTTCTTTGTCCCATAGATGGAAACTTTTTTACATTTACAAGACATGAGCCTATTGGTGTGTGTGGCCAAATTATTCCTGTAAGTTGCAACTATTTATATTCCTTGTTACAAGTGGAAATGCTTTTGAAATTTTGTCTATGCAAATGCACTTGTGAAAAATTACTAACCAGAAATTTTCAGATCCTGAAAGATAAAGACTATCCTGAGTACCCAAATTCTGCAACACAATTTTTGATGAGTCAGCCTGGTTCAACCTTGTCTCCCTCCTCCCTGTATATCGAGGGAAAATAAATCTCAAAAGATTGACAGAATAGTTTGAAAGATGAAATTAGGGTTAGGGTTAGATTCTGAAATACTCACCTTGTCTATTAGGTTTGCTCAAACATGTGAGTCCCACACAGGTTCCTGATGTCTTTCAGTTGAGCTTGAAGATTTCCTATCCCTTTATACCACCACACTGATTTGGAGAACATCGCTGGGATAGTTTGGATCCAGTCTCTAGGAGAGCTAGGAAACTGATGGTTTAGATTCTCTTGTAGGTCAAACACAAAATATTTCAAGTAAAACACTCAGTTAAGATAAGCTAAAGAACTATAATCACTAGTTGTGACCATTTTAATAAAATTACATACTGGAAATATAAGCAGCAATTAGTACAAACACTGCCTTCCCTAATAAAATGTTCAAGCATTTCTGAGTATGTCTTAATTTTCTCTTCATTAAAAAAAGAACCACCAAGTTGGAGGTTTCCACATCAAGTAAAATTTTGAGGACTATGTGAATGTTGCAAACCACTTTTGATAGCTCAATATTTCCGTTTCCTTCCTCTCACACAATCCTACTTTAATAATGAATATTCAGAAAATCCTGTAATTCCTCAGTTTGTGTTATTTATGCTCCCACTATTTTTGTTGATAGGGTGAGACTGAAATGAGACAAGGACAGAGAAAAAGAATAGTTGCATGTATATTTCTCCAAGCCTTTTTGATATAATTGGAAGCTCTTAACTGCCTTTTTTCCCATTTATAAAGATGTCTTATGAGCTGAGGCTCGTGGACTCAATGCTTCCCAAACTATTAGAAATATGTTTATAGAGGCAAAGAGTTTTTATACTGGTCACATTATCCCTCACATTGCAGAACACAGGGTCCAAAGCAGTCAGCTGCTCTGCAGTCTGTCTGGACTGACCACAACCAATAACCACCATTGAAACTTCCAGGGAAGAGGGACAGGGTAGCATTATTTGTTATTACCTTGCCTCCCTTAGAAAACTGAATTAATGAGGGATGCGATCATTTACAATAGCAAAACTCCCAATTGCACCACTAATTCAACAACTGTCTGTAAGGCTATTAGGGGAGTACACTTACTGTTTCTTGAGCTTTTAACTAGTACCTTTGATCTCCTGTACTTACATATACAAAAATCACTGATCTTTGTGTTATGTGGTTTGCCAGTTGCTTTTTCAAAATATCTTCATTCTGAAAGGAGTTCAACAAAGAGTTCAACACCGAGTTGACAATTTGCACTATTATAACAAGAAAAGCTGAGGTATTTTGGCAATGTATTAGAAATCGGATACACTTTCTCATCTGTCTTTCAGTGGAACTTCCCATTGGTTATGTTCATGTGGAAGATTGCCCCTGCCCTTTGTTGTGGAAACACCGTGGTTGTCAAACCAGCAGAACAAACTCCACTCACTGCCCTTTACATGGGATCCTTAATTAAAGAGGTAAGTCATAAACAACAAAGTTATTTGCCATTCTCAGAAATGTAAGAGTATACTGCAGCTGAAATGCCACAGAGGTAATATAATCAGGCTGGCCTCTGCCAGTACTTTTCATTGCATGCCTAGCCTTGTACTGTGGAACTTGCCTTACTGTAAACCAGTGAAGACAATCTAGGGCAAAAGTATGCATATCTTTCAGCCTAGTACACACATACAAAACCCCACAACAGCCATTTAGAAAACTCCATTCTTTCAAAACTATATTTGTATTACTAAAGCACAGTACCTTTCAAAGTCGAAAGGAAGCAAGAACTCATGCATGTGGGTAGCAAGGACTTTATTAGTATAGTTATCCCGGAGAAAAACCTGTTTGTACAGCTTTTTTTTTTTTTTTTAATTGAACAAAGTCTTCATCAACCTGGGTTTATTATTAACAAGGAGCTGTAAAATCGAACTAGTGAGTGCTGCCAAACCTGTGAACTCTCTTCACACAGAAACTGTGAGAATACTCTTTGTTCTCTTGAACACGAGAGTGTGTTAGTTTCTTCTGTGTCTCCAGAGTTAACCATGGTGCCCAGGCCAGCAAACACCCACAGAGAATAGTTAAATAGTTTAACTTTCTTCCCAATAAAATCAACAAATATAATCTAACATGTTTCAAAAGTTGGCACAGATGTCAATAATCACCAGGGCAGTAACCTTGCAGAGTTTTAATGGAAATGACTTGGCATATTTTATTATCTGTTTCAAAACAATGATTCAGCAGAGCATACTGACCGATTATGTATTAATATTACACAGAAACTAAATGACTATCAGGATCGACCCAAGTCCTGCTGTTATTGCATCACATAGTAAATGCTATTAGATACTATTGGGGATGAGGAATTGCACTAAAAAATATTAGAGACACCTTCCCTATTCATTTTTAACAATAAGTATCAGAAAGTATATGTCTCTGAAAAAAGTAATTTTACAGGGAAAGTAACTCAATTCTCCTATCACTTTAATGAACTATCTGTTCTGATATTCTGATTTCCTGAAAAGAATGCTCATAAGTGGGAATGTGATCAGTATCCGATTATACACACAAAGTTGGAGCCAAATCTCTGACAGTCATCACTTCAACAGCTGCTTTAGACTTGTGAAAATAGCTGAAAGTCTAATTTAACTTTCTACTTCTCAAGTGTCCACATTAAAAAAAATATTATCACTTTTATTAATCTTCACTATAGTTCTTAACAGCCCTCACAAGTCTCCCTTTTTAATATACGGAGAAGAGCTTCCAAAACAAACATGAAAATTAAATGTTCAAAGTGACACAGTGTGAATTAGTTCCATAAAAAATTACTCTTCTTACTTTTCTCTACAAATTAAGTATGAAATACAATGCTAAGCAAATTAAAGAAACCTCATTGCCTCATCAATTTCAGGGTAAATATTAATCTAGAATATTAAATGAGGATAACAAACATGGACAGAGTGTATCTGAGCATGAAATTGTCAAGAATAAAAATTGGTAGAATAAAAGTAACACTCTGGTGTTGATAACACAGGACATTAAGTTTTAGGAGCTGCAACTCACCACCTGAAATTCCAAATAAAAATTGCAACGTTGGCATGTAATGTCGAAGTCCTGTTTAATGCTACAAAGAGACTCATTTAAGTGATAATGCAGGAGATGAATCTTTTTAGTATTTTAATTCAATGTTTACTCTGCAAGTGCCATTAAGATCCCATAGCTGCTGACAAAAAATCCAACTACACTTCACACATCCGTGGAGTTTGCCTGACAACCTGCTGGAAGAAAATAGCTTATGAATGGAACATAACTAATACAGGATTGAAGGGAAATCATAGATTTGAACAACAAGAAAAGTCTATTTCCATAAAAAATGTGCAGGATATTGGAAGTGTGCATATCTCAGGTGACCCGCTTTTTCATACTTGGTAGCTGATCTACCTCTTTTTTGCTGTAAACTGTCATGTTGCCCACTCTACTTTCAACCTACATCCAGAGGAACAAGCAAAGACATTGAGTTTGAAGTAGTATTTCCATCATTTTTTTAATAGAATTTTAGTCAGCAGATCATTAATTAAATTCCATCTAGCATATTTGTCAATGTCCAGAAGTCAGGAAGTACACATGTTGATTTAAACAGCTTTAATGAAGCAGACATAAAAATAAGCAGTCTTTCTTTACACATCTGACTGAGTGAGAAAAGAAAAAAAAAAGTATTTCTTTGGAAATGGCACCAACAAGGAACTAAAAGGGCATAAATACTGTGAGAATTAAAACAGTTGAGGATGTAGGGCTGAGAATAAATGTATGGCTGAGAAAGATGGCTGGAGAAGGGAAGTAAAACTGCCAGAGACATATTCTTCTAGTCATTATCCTTCCCCAAATTTACAGAGTTCTTTCTTCTAATTCAGGCAGGATTTCCACCTGGAGTTGTGAACATCGTGCCAGGCTTTGGACCCACTGCTGGAGCAGCAGTTTCTCACCACATGGATATAGATAAAGTAGCTTTCACAGGCTCTACAGAGGTACTGTAATGAATGCAAGAAAATATAAGCAGGAAATGTACCCCTCTGATTCCCACAAATGATTTAATGTCTTAACTTGTTCTATGTAATTATTTTAACTCTCATCTTTCTTTTGACTGATGGTTTGTTAAACAATATCTGTTTAATGATTTGTTGGTTATTGTTAACTTTAAACATATTTAAACAGTATTTGCTATTGCTGGTAAGCCCTTCAAACAAAGGCAGTCAATGAGATAACTAGGTTCTAGTATACCAAGGCTATTTTAAGTCTTATGCATTTAAAACAGAACATTTTCATAATATAGTTTGCACCTTTTTTTAAGAAGCTCTGTTCCCTTTAATTTTAATAACAACAGAATGGTAGGAAGGTATCTAAGAAATCTCATTCCTGGTTCTGCACACAGTGATGGCTTTTTGATATTTCAATGATACTTAGTATCATCTGGGTGGTCTTAGAAGAGTATTTGGATATATATTAGTTTAATAATTAAAAGAAAGGTCACTGTTAATTTTCCCTAATCTTCACCCTGAAGAACTGTGAGTGATATAATTGAAGACTTCTCATTACAGGCATTATATAGCTGTACTCTTAATACAGTTCATTATATTGTCTGTCTGCTTGCATGCTAAATGGAAAAGCTGCCATCTGGCCTCTTAGCTTCTTGGATATAGACTCCAAAGATAAATATCATTCCCTTTTGTCAGGGATCAGTACACATTGAGTGCAAGAGTTATGTTTACTCTTAGAAACCTTTAGTTCTGAAATAATGAGAAAAGAAAACAACCCAAATCCCAGACATACAAGAAACATCCCACAGATGTTCCCAATAGACAGTAACAATTACAATTCCCAGTGCCCCATGACCCTCCAAAGGCATATGGACCCAAGGGTGTATTTATAGATTTTGGTGACAGTCCTCTACTGGCAGTGCAATTTAGCAAGGAGAAATGATGGCAGGAAGGTTGACAGAGGGAGGAAGTTTATCTGGTGTCTGCTATACACAGGCAGTCAGAGACCAAAGCCACAAGAGCTACAGGCATGTTTTTCCTTCAGTTTTTCCAGGGCTACTCATAGTAAGTAGTTCCTTAAATTATGTCACCAGTAGAAAGAAGCGGCATAGGGGTTCTACCTCACAGTATCCATTTCCTCCTCTTCTTTCTTTTAAGAGAGAAATTGGAACAGGGAAGTGTCCATACAGGCAATGTAGATTCTTTCATACATCTTTGTGCATCAGAGGGCTTTTCCATGTATAAAACAGAGAAATTTCAACCTAATGGGAGCAACAGGCGGAGCAGAAATCAGTGCCTACTTTAGGTTACAGATACATGCCAGTATAGTGGTGGTAACCCAAAAAGCAGTTAACATTGATGCCTCAGGATTTTTAGGATTTTTAGCTTTTTGTAGATTTTAATGTAGCTATGTAGTCTGTTGCCCTTTAGAATAGTAGTTAACACTCACCAAACCCTATTCCCCTATTTCATACAGAATTTTCTAAATTTTTTAGGCTTGTTTAGGCTCCTTTCAAGGCACGACTATAGTAAACACATTCTGTTTAAGCGCATATGCACCCCAGGCCTGAACAACAAGATAGCATCATAGTCAAAGCAACCTTCAACCCTGCACCTCGGAGAAGCTCCAAAGACAGTATGTGCTGTGAAGAAGAGGAAGATGAGGAAGAAAGGGGTCTTAGGATGTCTCTCTAACTCAGTTTCTGGGGAGGCATGCCAGGGGGGCAGGTTTGGGGAGGATCTGGGGGCAGATAGTTCTTGGATCAGACCATAAATTGTGGAACCCTTGGACATGGGTGTGAGCACTTTTGTACTCCTTGCACCAGAATGCCTTCATTAAAGACCTGCTCGATATCTTATCTATACTAAATTTGCCTTGTGAGTTTTTTCTCCTTGATCTTTAGGCAACAATATGAATGTATACAGGGAGAAACCATTCTAGAAAACAGTTCTGATTCATAGGCTACAAGTCACCCTCACCCTGACTCTTCAATTTTTTTAATTTATTTTTCATTTTGTTACTGGGATAGTAGATAACTGTGGATGGATTTTCACTTCTGAGGAAGTCAGAGATGTTTTTGAGGTCATTATAACCTTTTTGAGATGAAGCTGTCCTCTCCCTACCTTCTAGGTTGGCAAACTGATTAAAGAGGCAGCCGGAAAGAGCAATCTGAAGAGAGTTACCTTGGAACTTGGAGGAAAAAGTCCTAACATTATATTTGCGGATGCAGACTGTTAGTAGCAATTTTATTATATAAACTACTACTATTGCAAATTTAATTCTCTTCTTCTTTTCTCTGTCAGTAAATTGTTTCAAGTAATTTTTAATTTTAATTGTTTGAGTAATTTTTAATGTTTTCTGGTCATGCCATAGTTTTAAGTTAGATTGACACCAAAACCTGATGGCTCCTGAATAGGTATGGATCTCTGACAACCTGTCCACCGTTAATGTAATGATCGTGCTAATGCAACATGAATGCAGAACCAAAAGTAGATTTATACAAGTTTATTAAATTTCTAGCTAAATACTCCTCTTGCTGCTGCTGACATGGCAAATAACGTTGGATCTACATTTCACATAGAACAGCTTAACGTGTGTTTAACTAGGTGTACCATGCTGCTCTTGATAAGAGTAGTTTGGACATAAGTACATGGTTTAAAGGATCATAAAAATAAAAAGTGCTAAAAAGGGAAATGAAATGCAGTGACAAAGCTTAGTAAAGAATTTATGATGTGACAATTTGTGTTTATGATCTGATGAACTCTGCATTTCTTTGCAGTGGACACTGCGGTGGAATTCGCACATATTGGTGTGTTCTATCACCAGGGACAGTGTTGTATAGCAGGATCTAGGATTTTTGTGGAGGAGCCTATTTATGATGAGTTTGTTCGCCGAAGCATTGAAAGGGCAAAGAAGTATACTCTTGGGAATCCTCTGTTGCCTGGTGTACAGCAAGGCCCTCAAGTAAGTAATGTTACATGTTTCCACCATAATTATGTCACAACATCACAATTTAATGTGCTTCTAAACCTATTGTTGCAGTACTTTCAAGGCTAAGTATGGTTTTCTGGTGGATAGTCTAGAGGACGAGGAGGAAGAAACTGGAGAGATTGTTGTTTACAACACTATCATAAGCCAAAGGGTGAGGTCTCCTTCTCTTTTCTAGTTCCTTTTATTAGTGAGGAGAACAATTATAAAAAATGTAAGTGCTCTGAGAAACCTCCAATGCATCAGCTGTAAAAGTGCATTACAATCACCCATGTCATGTTAGAGCTTGCTAACTACATATTCAAATAGTGCCACTGTAAGTGACTAGCTTGAGGAAATAAGACTTTTAGTGTCTTTTCCCCTTTTTCAAGGTGCTAGACCTTCATTATACTGTTCTCAGTTTTAGAATATTACACTATTTAAATACAACAGTTTATTATTTTTTCCTGCTTTTGTTAAAAGGTTATGCCAATTTATGTAATAAAAGACACCAAGTAAATTGGAAAAAAACACATTCCAAGCCACACAAGATTTGGGAAATTTAAAAATATTTAAGAAGGATACTATTTTATTTTCCTGCAATATGTTTTAATACAAGATAATAGATTCATCTGAGTAAATTTTAAAAGTCCAAGGGTAGGAAGGTTCAAACAAGTAAATTCCAAGTGTCTGTTGTACAACTGACATAAAATTAGCAGAGATCTTCTATCAGGTTATTGTGGCTTTACTGAGTTTGAAATTAATGCTAACAATTTAAATGAGAAATGTAAGTAAACCTCTACTAAAAAAATAAGGAAGGTTAAATGTGAAAAAGCAAAAATGAAAATATTTTAAAGAATACAAAGATTTTTTTTCTCCTCTACTCTCATCATTTGCCATTATTGATTTATTTTTCTTCTTAGTAAACTTTAGCAGAAACTTAACGATTTTACAGATTAGCAAAGTTACTGCTTTTAGAACTGGTATGACCCCATTTAATGGAAAATTGTGGTTTGAGTGTAGTTTCTTTTGTGGTAATTATGTTAAATATCTCTCTGTGTCTTCAAATTGCTTGTGCTTTGACTGATTGTTCCTAGAAACAAAAACCGATAGCCTGTATCAGGCCTATTCACAGTGATGTCTTGCCATAGAGAAAAAGACATGTTGTCCAGTTCACAGGTCCTCTGGGGCCGCACCTGCCCTAGACAGCAAGTTTGAGTAACACTGTGCACGTTGGACATCAAAGCAGAGTCAAAAGCCCTACTGGAATTCAAAAGATTCTATATAAGCATTATTAAGAAAAATAATTATGATAATAACAAAGGAAGGACTGACAACATGAGCTGTATCATATAAACCTTGTTTTCTCTCCCAGATGTTTATGTGGCCACCAGGGTAGCAGAAATTTTATGTCTTCAGCATCCAGTAAGGCAAACATTTCTTTGAAAGTAAAATGACAAAGAGAGTGCAGTGAACTAAAAGTCATCTCCTTATAAACCCATATCCTTATAGCTATAAACTTTTATCACAGCTTTATTTAAATAGCTGTTTAGTCTAATATGAGTCCAGAATTCCCCAGAACCTTAGAAAATATTGTTGTGTTCTAAGATCATAGTAAAACTTTTTGCTCAGACTGAAACTCAACATTTTTATTGCACAAATAAGAGAATAAGATACACACCTACTCTGCTCTGCTGACTGATGTGCATGATCACAGAGAAGACTAATCTGTGCAAGAGTCACTCTGGAAGTAATCTCAGTATCTTCGTGAGCTAGTACTTGAAGGACTGAAGTCTGAAATAATGAAGGAAAGAATCATGAAAATGGAGCAAAGAAAATAAAAAAAAAGAGAATGCTAGAGGCATTTACCAAACAAGCTTTATCATTAAGGTTTTTTTGACATACATGTTATCTTGTGCACAACTTCCCTTCAGGTCTGAAGGGTGATTGGTGGATTTGGACCTTACAGGAGAGAAAACAATGTGTTATCTGTTTCTAGTCCTCATTTACACTATTTGTTTTTATCCATTTTGTCACAGCAAACTGGAAGGAGTTAGAGAAATATAAGCACTTGTTGTACTGTCACCATAAACTTTTTTTCCAGACTAAGACCATGCATTTTGCCAAACTATAGAACCAAACTGCAATATACTTGGCATATATTGAATTTGTTGGTAAGCCTGAGTGAATGGAAGGACAGAGATTGGTTTCATATTGTAAACAATTTGTCATCTATGTTTCTCAAATGACAAGTGTATTTGTCTTTATTCCACTAATAAATCAGAATTAATTAAAAAATAACATTGAATTTAAATTATATTTAATAGTTGTTTTTTAACTTCCTCTAATATTTTAGGAAAGCAGTATGGCCAATGTACCAGACCTGATGAAGGACAGAAGGGTTTTGCTGGCTAGATCAAGCCCTCCATTATTTTTTCAGAGTCAAGCCCAGCAATTTTTTTTTTGATGAACCATTTCTGGTTGGCAAAAGTACTGAGAAGTATAAGACATATTAATTTTGTCCCTCTAAACCTCATTCTCCTATGTCAAAATTTCTGATTATTGCTCTATTTGAGAAAAGCCTGCAAATTTTTGAGAAGTTAGTGACAAGAATATTAGCAGTGCTCTCTACCTGTTCCACTTCAACACATGTAATTGAACAAAGCTGGAACGTTGTTAAGTTTAGGTTAGTGAGTTAGAAGACCAACTGTTATCAGCATGTGCTGTTTTCATCCCTGAAATATCTTTTCATTTAGATTGACAAGGAGCAGTTTAAAAAAATCCTGGAGCTAATCGAGAGTGGGAAAAAAGAAGGAGCCAAACTGGAATGTGGGGGAGGTCCATGGGGAGACAAGGGTTACTTCATCCAACCCACAGTTTTTTCTAATGTTACTGATGATATGCGCATCGCCAAAGAAGAGGTAAATAAATTTTTAGCCATCTGTTCTCTCACTGAAGGTTGTCTATTTAAATGTCTGTACAAAACACTCATTTAGAAGGTCAAGCAATGACATAAAATGCTCTCAATAAGTCTGTTGTTCCATCTTGGTGGTGCTTAAAGTGCCTTTGTTGGTTTTTGATCCCCATTTCATCAACTTGGTTGTGGTGAGGGAGTATGAGACTGGCCTGCCAACGAAGTCTCCTATTTAGGGTGGAAGCAGATAAATGCGGGGTTTGGATTATTTACATCAGCCCATACCATCTATGTGTCACATACCAGCATCACAGTGACCAGTAACAGAGAAGCAAACAGTGGAGGCACAGCTTGTGAACAATTTACACTGCCTAGGGAGCCACTTAATTTAGTGTTTGGACATAACATGCACCAGGCAGCTATTTTGCAACATGAGAAACTAGTTGATTTGTGCTTCCACATGCCTGTTGGTGGCGATTACTGTACATCAGAGTTTTGCCTCTGTGGAGTTATTTAACTTAGATCAGTTTGCAAGTGTGTCTACACATGACTGAAGAATATTTTACTGACCCAACTGAGGTGACAGTGCCATGGCATCAGTGAAAATCTGCAAGGAACAGCAGAGAGTTAGGAGTGCAGAGCTGCTATGTCAGCTAGCTTTGTAAACACAGCCTCAAAGTCCAGTCATGACCTCTTCTCTGTGTTTTTTTATATTCATCTTCATTAATAACTGTTGCAACTGGGCTGCAATTGGTGTCCATTATACTTCTTCATAAAAAAAGGTCCTTCAAAATCCTCCTAAATGTTGCTTTACAAAGCCAACAATACTGCTGATGCAGTCTGATGAGCATACCTAGTACATCCACCACGAGTCAACAGCCCTAGTTAAAATTAACACCACAACAGCTAGAGTTAATTGTGACAAGGAGAAAGCTGTAAAACAGGAGAGAGCTCTATGAGACAGAATTTGGATTGTTTCTGCCACCCAGGAGTCAGGTAAGAAACCACACAGATTTTTGCTGCTGTCTTAGTTTCTCTTTGGTCAGCAGTAAAGCGACTGCTTCTCACATTATTTTAAGTGTAAGGAAAAATGAAACCCCAGACAGCCAAGACAATTTAAAGAATATCCAAGTTTTGAAGTTCACAGTTTGAATAGTAGGGGAATGTTCAGTGGTTTTCTGACCTATGTAAATCAACTCTTGCAACACTAGTTAGAAACTAACATTAAAACTCAGTCAGGTAGAAAGCTCACAATCTGTTGGAATAGAAGTAATTGGATGTAGTAATGTCCCCTCACACTACACAGTCTTGGCATATTGTGGTGGGCATGGGCACCTCTGGCTGAGAACACCGAGTGATGGCAGCAGGAAAGTGGAACCTGAAGAACTATTTTCTCACCTAACACCCATATGGAAAGCAGAATTAGTTGTTCCACTTGGAGTACATTCCCAATTGTGCAGCTGCCTACAGAGATAAAAGTCTAATAGAAAATTTAGGTGAAGAAAAATTGCATGTCTTTCTCATGTCTTTAAAACTAGAGTTTGCCAAGAAAACACCCATTTGTTGGTAACCGGTATAGATATCTAGCAGAGTGTGACACCATGTTAGCTGCCTTTATGGTGGGAGTCTTTTAATCTTTGTTATTTGTTTTCATTATTTATTTATTTATTGTCTTATTAATCATTTTATAATAGGCTATCTTGATTTACATCATATTTCAAAAATCTTTATGTGAATTTATAGTATTTTTTAGAAAGTTTTCATGAAATATACAGTCTTGGCTGAATGAATTCAGGAACAAAACCACCTAATAGATGTAAATTTAATAAATATAAATTACTTAAAATAGTAACTTATTCTAGTCCACTTTAAAAGCTTACATGTGTTTGATACAGATATTTGGACCTGTTCAACAAATCATGAAGTTTAAAACTATAGATGAAGTAATCAAGAGAGCAAATAATACTACGTATGGTTTAGCAGCAGCAGTTTTTACCAAAGACATTGATAAAGCATTGACATTTGCAGCTGCTCTTCAGGCTGGAACAGTATGGTAAGTCATGCTTTTTTAAATTCTTCCTTTAGATCTGCAGGTGTCAATGGCACTGATTGTAGGACATTTTCACACTTTTTTAGGTAGTATATTTTTATATTTATTCCTTGTCATCTTTGTAGAGGTGGATCATTGCCATCCTCCTCTGTATCTCCTCCCCTCACCTTTCCCTACTTAATGTGCCATTAAATACTTATGTCTTGAAAGTCTTCACACAATTGGCCTGTAAACTTAGTCTAAAAAAGGAAATTGACTTGCTAAAAAGGAAAGGAAACAACAAAAAAATACAGTGAGAGTGCCCTCTTTCTTTACGTTCAGGATCTGGGAATAAATTAATAGCATGCAAAGGAAGGGAGCAAAGGTGGTGAAGGGCCTTGAGGGGAAGTCGTATGAGCAGTGGCTGAGGTCACTTGATCTATGCAGCCTGGAGAAGAGGAGACTGAGGGGAGACCTTATTGCAGTCCACAACTTCTTCATGAGGGGAAGAGGAGGGACAGGCACTGAACTCTTCTCTGTGGTGACCAGTGACAGACCTGAGGGAATGGCCTGAAGTTGTGTCAGAGTAGATTTAGGTTGCATATTAGAAAAAGGTTCTTCATCCAGAGGGTGGTTGGGCACTGGAATAGGCTTTCTGGGGAAGTGGTCGTAACACCAAGACTGCCAAAGTTCAAGAAGTATTTGGACAATGCTTTCAGGCACATAATGTGACTCTTGGGGATGGTTCTGTGCAGGGCCAGGAGTTGGACTTGATGATCCTTGTGGGTCCCTTCCAACGCAGCATATTCTGTGATTCTGTGAATATATAATTTTTGGGGATCGTTTTCGGTATTGCGTAAAGAAATTAGTTATCTGAAGTTCTGTGGCCATTAGCCTGGGCAGAACATACATCTTTAATGGAAAAAATTGATAAAATGTGATTGAACAAAGGAAGGAAACGCAAGCTGAGGGAGAACTGCTACAAGACCAACTATTCCCAGCAATGGAAAAGAAGAGGCAACTTACATAGAGCTGGAAAATAAAAGGATAAGAGATACAAGAGTGAAAGCTTGGAGGCATAGCAGACTGAGTCTAGACACTATCACTGACAAAGACCTGCTTTTCCCTACAATTATTTCAATGCATCAGAAGGAGAACAACCAGTTTTACTTGAATGCAAAACCTGTGCCCAATTTACATTTTATCTGAAAGCACTTGCAACCAGCAAAAATTCCTGCCCAGGTCCTGTGACCTAAAAACAGATACTTTCTAAAAATAAATTAACAGTTTTGACTTAGGGCTTATTATTCTTTATATGGAAGAAAGTTTCAAACAGAGGTAGAATCTTTGGGTTTTGCTCTTACATGATTGGTGGTCTAGGAATCCTTAACTATGAACAGAATCTCTTCTGTTGAAACCAGCAGACTGGCAGAAGAGATTATAAAATATGTAAAGAGAGAATATTTGATTTGACAAGGTTATAAGACAAAAAGAGTTTCTCAGTCAGGAAGCAGGATGCACATTCTGCCAAAATTCTTCATACTTACAAATTCCCCTGTGAAGTTCCTTTCTTACTCATTGTATCTTGTTCTCAACTACAATACAGAACATGGCTTAACTGAGTAGAATCAAACAAAACTTCCTAAACTTATACTGAAGCTATCATGAGTTTATCAATAAGAAGTGGACCTGCAGAAGACTTAGCTTTGGCTAGTGTTTTGTTTGAGAGCTGATGTACGAGTTAGGAGTTTTATTGAGGCTATCAGAGAAAGGTATGATGGTCACTCTGCTTGAAGACCCTTCATGAGTATTATTACCCTGCTTATAACTGTAGTTGGTTTTAATACTTAATTTCTCTGAACCTTAAACTAAATTTATTTTTGCAAATATATTACTTAGTTCTAGTTTGTGACTATCACCATAGGTTTCTTACAGTTGACAGAAAAAACATTGATTTTGCAGAAGTGAAAAAAGTTTCTTCGCACTATCAAAAGTAATTTTTTTGTTCTTCCAGGGTTAATTGTTATAGTGCAGTGTCTGCTCAGTGTCCTTTTGGAGGTTTTAAGATGTCAGGAAATGGACGAGAAATGTAAGTAAATGCTTTTAAAAATGTAGATTCACAGGAACTACAAAATGAAATTCCAAACCCCAACTTTAAATATGCATAACTAGGATGTCCAGTTTGAGACTTTGTCACATTAGGCTAGTATTTAGAGGCTTCAGGTTGTCAGAGGCAATATCAACCAAACAATTCCTCCACAAATAAGAAAATTGTTAAGATATACCCTTTTTCAAAATTACTGGTTTTAGAAGCTTGCAATCTACTGATAAGCAAAACTGACCATTTTGGTTTTGGTTTACAGTTTTTGCATGTACAGAGAAACTGTCATTTTCATGAAGATATATATGTGTGTAGTTTGTGATATCCCCTTCACATGCTAGGTTTTGGAAAAGAAGAGACTTTTCAAAATCCTAGATTTAAACAAGAGTTTGCAGTTAAAGCCTTGTGACAGCAATGTTTTTACAGTACATGCCAGCTTGGTCAAAAGTTATGATGAAAACAGTCCTCTGTAGTCTTTGGACCTTTGTTTTTTTCCCAAAATAGAAGTGGAGTATTATACAAAAATTATAATCTAATCAAATTTTTTCAAACCTCTAAGTTTTAGACCAGTTTCCACTTGAATCATGTTCTGTCTTACCTTTATTTGTCCTTTGTTAAAAATGCCAAATATACAGGAACAAAAAATTATTTTTAAAGCCATAACTAAAAATCAATACTTGTAAGCTTTCCTTTTTATTAAGACAAATGCATAAAAATTTTAATGAATGATAGAAGTAATTAAAAAATATATATGTAGGTGAGGTGCTTCAGAGCTTCTTTTTATGTATTTTTTTAAGAGATAAAGACTAGTATTTTCATACTTGCTCATCACTGGACCCAGTCTGCTCCTTATGGCAAAGCTCCCGCTAGCTTCAAAGGAAATGGACTCGAGTCAACGCTGAGAGCTTTAGAAAACTGCAAAATGGAAAAATGCAATAATTTAGACCATTATTATCAAATACTGGTTTGCATTTGGTGGGTGCCAAAAAAATTGGACGTAATCAATTCTGAATTACACTCTTTAGCAGAAATATTTTTTGAATTCATTCGCTGGAAATAACAGAAAAACAATAAGAGACTATCAAAAATATTTTCTATAACAGTGCATTTGGAAGGAGTTAAGCTTTTGTGCTAACTAAGTTTTTTGGTTCAAAGTCACAATTATCAGACCAATAAAAATATTTCTGCTAAAGGACAAGGATAGAATTATCACCAGATAGATGCCTGTTTGGAAAAAAAATTCTAAATATACACCAGTCAATTTTAGGGGAGGCAGAAATATATGTGAAACAGCTGTACTGAAATAATTAGGAACTCAGTGTCAAGCCAATTCCTTGAACCCCAGAATTAAATTTCCTGTATAATTCTTGGAATGATAATATCATTATGAATTAAACTACTGAATGTCACATACTAACAGAATGCCTCTTCAAAAAATAAGGGAATCAGTAAACATATTCCCCTAGTACAAGGGTCCTGATCAGAGACTTCTGTTTTGCCTATATTCCTATCTAGTAACATGGCAGTGAGAATGGCAGAACTTTATACTGTAGCAAATCTATGTTCTGTAAAGCAATCAGTTATGTCTAGTTTGTCTGTTCAGGTGTCAAATATCTAGGCACACAAACAAGCTTCAACTCATCATGGAAAATGTAAAGGTGAATCATGCTAAAACATGTGAAATATTAAAGTTTTTTTCATTGTCTGAGAGTTTTCATCATGGATTAATTATGTCCTCCATTTGCTTGAGATGAAGTGTCTATTCTTTAATGCTGGAGAAAATTCTTGACTTTAGAAGAAGACCTTTATGACCTTTGCAAATAACTTGTTGAGCATGCTTGTGAAGGTCTAATACGTTCTTGATTTGCTGCACATAAATCCAATTTAGAAATACTCTAAATTAAATGCCATTCTTTTGCACAGATAAAATTGTTGTCTCTGCCACTTTTCTCAGGAAACTGTTGCTGTAGCTTTTCAAAAGGTTTTCAGCTACAGTCTAGCTGCACGGCTGTCTTCTAAATATGTCCAGTGTACTTGTTATATATATATGGCCAATTGCACAGCATCACTGAAAATCCCATCCAGAATAAAACTCATATAAAAAGCATTAGCATAAATATTGCTCTTGGTTCTCTTTTATCTAGGGGAGAATATGGACTCCATGAATACACAGAAGTTAAGACTGTCACAATCAAAATCCCACAAAAGAACTCGTAATGCTTCTTGAGGTGCAGAATCTAACAGCTTCAAATGAATCTGAAAAGACCATCTGAGTTCTTAAATGTTTTATTGTCCAAATGATTCATTAACCTTTTTGCTTTCTAATTATATGAGGTACTTGCTTGCATTAACAATATAAGGAATAACATAGAAAAGTTTAATTTGATTAATTGTGATAAGGAATCTTTAATGTCTGGTACATAACTAACTAATTTTAAAAATTCATGTTCAGAAAGACCTATTCCTATGTTCAGTTGAGGCTCTGTGTAGTGCTATGAAAATTTGCCTTTTTTGATATACTTTACAGGTACAGTTTGAATTTTTGTGGTCTTCTAAATGTTAGATGGCAAGCTCTCTTTGCATTTTCCGTTTTTTGTGGCCTTAACAAAAGCACTTATGAGTAGTTAGCAGATAGATACTTCTCTGTATCTTTGTCCAGATGTATTTCTTAGACTTAAATTTGTTCATGATGCTACACAAATGTAACGTGTATAAGGTTAAAAAAAAATTAAAATTCACCTGCAAAACCTACTACTTCTCCTTTCATTAGACTTTTCTACTACACTAGTTTACTAATAAATAATACTAATAAACAATAGTTTACTATTTGGCACTATGTAGCACAGAGGCACCACTGGTGTGTTCAGCTCATCAGACTTATATCTGCTATATGGAGACTAAAGTCCCTAATATTTTGTCAGTATTATAATTGGAAGAATATGAACACACAGAACACTAAGCCAGAAGGGACACACTTGGCCTGTGTCTGGTATGATCCAGTCATCTCTTAAAAGCACACTAGGGCTAGTCTGAAGCCACTCCCCTCTGAATGTGTGCTATGTGGGTGGTTGGTTCTCTTGTTTTCCTGGCATCCTTTGGCAGCACATGACTGCAAATCCTGCCCTACTTATGCTGCCTGCAACTGCAAGCCCAAGCAAAGAATGACTGAAATATAACGCAAAAAAAGGGAAAACCCAGCATAATAAAGGAGTACAGGAGAAGGACCAACTCGACCTTTGCATGCATATATACATTCTGTTTAGAATGTCTAAACTATTTTAATATTGTTTTCAGTAACATTGTAAATATACGGTTCAGTTCCTCTTTGACAGTCTTGACAGGTAAAAGAAAGCTTTCAATGGTCTTATTTTGTCAATTTTAATGTTTCAGAATGATCAAAATGTAACATCTAGTAGGCACTTTTAAGTTCCCATTTTTTCAAATGCCTTGAGCTTTGGATCAATCTGATGACACACTGAAGTTGTTCACAAGAGATGCCAGTGTAAAGAGATATACCCTTTGGCATCCCTTACAAGAGCACACTAGTTCACAGCACATGACAGTGACCAAACCAGAAAAAAAAATCAGAATATAGTCCCATTTGTTCCTCAACTGCCAGTTTATTGACTCAGAAGCGAGGTCAGGAGGGGATTTCTCTCCACAATGCACACACTATTAGTAATAACACAATGTCTCTGTGAGCACAAGAATTGTCCTTTCAAAATTAAGCGTCTTTGTAATTATGTTCATAGTATTAAAGTCTCCAGTTGATGGTGAAATATCTGCTATATGTCTTTCTTACATCTGCACATGAGTATGGTGACTTGTGATCTGGACAGTAATAAATGAAGAATTAAACTCTGCAAATATTACACAGGTAATCAAGGAGGCCCTTTCTTTCTGGGCTTGAATCGCTATCATGTTACCCCAGCTACATGCCAAAGCAGTACCATTGAAATTTACTGGGATTAAACACAAGAGTATTAGTTGATCTTTTTATGAATATTGCTTAAAGTGTTAGTAAAGTTGTAGTCAGTATTTCACCAAGAAAGAATTTTAACAAGAGAAATGAACTTGTTGCATGGCCTTTCAAAGCCCCTGAAAATGGAATACTAACAGCAGCAGCAGTTACTATGTTTGGACTGAAACAATTATATTTTTTCATGTAGTTCTTGAAGGTAGTGGTCGTCTAGGTAAACAATGTAGAGGAAAATCTCCACAGATTTCAGTGGGACTATTTTTTTTTTAGTGAAAATCCCTTTAACACTATTGAAGGCACACCTTTAATTTTCATGAAAGTAGGATGAAGGAGAAGATATTGCAGTCTTACTGGAAAATTCTGTTTCAAGGAGTGTTATACTATATAGAAAACCAAGTCCTAGAAACTTGGAGTCCTTAAAGTCATTGTTTTGCCATCAGTGAGGTGATCCCTGCCCTTCCCCTGCCCCTAACACAATATTTTTTTAAAAAAGAAGGGAAGCTTTTGAATAGCAACAGAGGGATAGAGAGACCCTTAGGCTATTTCAGTCAAAATAGTGAAGTTGTAAGGAATTCTCATTCTGTCTCAAGAAAGAAAATTACTGATAATCCTTGACTACTAGATATCCAGGTCTTAAGACAGATGAGAGAATATATGGAGAAAATATTCAGAGCAAGAAAGGCATCTGGTTTGGATAAAGAGTGAAAATTCCCTGATGAAGTAGGGTTTTAGGGAGGTATTTGAAAAGATGTGAGAACTTGGCAGCCAAAAGTATTGTGGGGAAGCAGGGTAGGCTATTCCATCTGGGACACAAAAGATAAGTGAAAAAAAAAAGGGAGAAAGGAAGGGAGCAGTAACAGAAACACTAACAGAAACAGTAACAGAAGTACAAGGAGTCTGATGAGGAAGGAGAGCAAAGCTAGGGATCACCTTGAGATTCTGATAGATCTCACTGTAAGATCTCATTATAATTTTGTAAGATTTAACATGGACTTTAATAGACGAACTGTGCTTCTCCAACCCCTTTATCATGTTTGCAATCATATTGTTTTTGAATTCCTGATCCTTCTGTTCTCCGTCTTTTCATTCAAGTCATGCTCCAGTTCTCTTGGTGTTAATATTGTCTTCCAAGTGAGATTTAAATAACTCCTTATTAGGAAAAGTCCACTTTAAACTAAAGCAGCAAAAAAAGACTCTTTGAAAATTTGGAAATAATAGTTTCCTGTGAACCTAGTAGAAGGTCTTAAGGAATGAATTATAACCCTTATTATGCTGACGGAAAAACAGGGCCTTGATGAACATAGTGCTCTGGAAACAAAAGTAAAAGATCTCGAAGCACAACTGACTCAGTCAATAAAATGTTACATGAAAAATTGGACAGGCATAATGAACTTATAAAAAGAACTGGGTATTGGGTGATTTAACTGCTGAAAATTCACCTTGTGAAGCAATCCTCAAAGTGCAGCAACAGAGAGGATACATACACAGTATAACAAATTGTCCATGCAAGAGGAAGACCATAGTTGCTTTTACACATTACTAGGAGGCAATGCAGTGAGATTTGGCAGAAGTATTAACCAAAATACCATATAGTTGTCCTCAATGGAAACAGAATAGAAGTATCAACTGTACCAAGAAAAATTATTATTACAGAGGATCTTTTAGAAGGAAGAAAGTTAGAATAGACTGCAGCAATGAGAGGGTTTGTTACATTGTTTTAGTTTATATTCTCATACTGCTTATAGTTCCATGTGGAATATAATATTATGACTAAATAATAACTTGACAATTACAAATTATCAATATGACCAATCCAAGATGTTTCTGTGCATAAAGAATAATATGATAAACCCTGACAATCATTCAAGTTGTTAAACAAAGCACTGCATGATCCTGCAGGATCACTGGCCATGATCCTTTCACTGTCAGCACAGAAAATCCCTTACTTTTTCATGTACCTTATGAGTCCCTCTTCATGTACTATTAAAAAGCTTTGGTAATATAGCATGATCCATATAGCACAAATCCTGTTGCTGCAAATGAAACAATGATCGTTGATCATCAAACTTTGACAAATGGTACAAACTGTCGAGGCCCTACCTACGGGCTCCTAGCACGTTGGTAACTCCAGCAATATGGATTCTACATTGATTCTGAACTCCCTATTACATGTAGTGACTATGCTTGGGACCGAGGAGCACACTGTGGTGACAGCAAGAATGAGACTTGCAAAATTAGAGCAACATTGGAGGTGTATTGCCCCTGGAAGAGAAAAATGTCTGACAGGTAAATAAGTGAATCAAGCAACACTGTCCACAATTACCTATATTCAAGAACCAAGAAAGACTTTGTAGGAGTGTGATGAAAGAAAAGTGTCATGTGAACATTGTATTTGGAGTTTAAATAAGTCCCATGCATAGACATATGAACACCCACTTACTATGGACACATCATATATTTCTGAGAACTGTGTCTGTTAGAGAGCTGACTCTTACATAAAGAATCTTTGGCCCTTATTATCCACTCTATTAATAGCAATCTTTAAAAAACATAAGCCTCTGTGAGGGAGCAATGACAGCTGATAGAGCAGTAAGGAGGTAGAAGAGAGAAGCATTCCCAGTTCACATGCACCAGTTCCATGTCAGAAAAAAACCCCAAAACATAGCTTTGTTAGTATCTCCTTATGACATCTAATCTACAATAGGAAAACATTAAGGTTTCTACTGCTTCAACCTTCTTTTCTTGATGTACATACTCTCCCGTGCTCCATTACTATCTCTCTGTTAACACTTAAGGAGGTGTTCAATACGAAGTTAGTTGTCCATGCTGAATGTCATAATAATAATAATAATAATTTCAATATAATTGAGAAATACAGTTGTGGAGCTATTTACATGTAAATTAACCATGGTATTAAAGAAACAGTCCCCTCTATACAGCTAAAGATACCTTGCAGTCTGATATTTTGTTTCACACCTTGTATTTTGCTGATTTGATGACAGAAAGGTTATGTTTCATTATGTTTCTTTCTAGACCAAATTATCTTCAACAAAAAGAAAAATGTCCCCATTACACTATTCACTGATACAAGACAGAATCTCAGGAATCATCTACACTGTTTCCTTTTCTGTATGTGGTGTAGTAGCCACCACTAAGAGAGCCCTTTTAAAACCTTCAAAATTTTATCTTTAATTTTTCCCCTGCCTCTGTGAATACACAAGATTTGTAGCTAACCTCCACTGACTTATTTACTGCTAGAAATTGGACTACTTAAATATATGGTTTTATGGACAGTGGAAGACACTTTTTAAACTTTACTTATGCAAATGAATAATTTTTTATGAGGTGTGTTTTTTACACGTTTACTACCCATTTATTTCATTCTTATTTTTTTTCAGTAAATACTTTGCTGACAGAAAAACCTACCTTTAAGTACTAACCCTGTGTAACTGACACACAAATATGAGCTCCTATGTAACTCATTCTATTATGGAGTGAATTTAAGAGAACATAACATGGCAAAATTTTAATTCATAAAGGGAGATCATGAAAATTAAACACTTTGACAGACTATACATACAGGTAGAAAGAGTCCTATGCAGCCTTTTCACCAAACATGCCTGTCTGAGTCAAGATTACAGTGGTTTCACTGCCTCCTTCTGTGCCTACCTCTCTAGCACACAAGCAGCTGCCTGCGAGAAGAGTGGGTGAGGCAGCTTGATGCAGATTTTTATGTGGTATTATGGTACTATTGCAGCCGGAAAACATGAAA